GTGAGTAAAATAGATGGTTTTGTAAGATTGTATGAGACCGGTTCATAGAGAAAGAAGTTTGACCATTAAAGTCAGTGTTTGAAAATATTTGTGATTTTATTTCCTGCCTATCAGCATGAACCAATACTCCTTGGTCAGTTAACAGTTATGCCAAATACACTTCAGTAAGAATATCCAAAGTGGAGATTATGAAATAACAAGAGATTTATGAATAGAAAAAGTACACTAGCTGCATGCCCCTCTCTCCCCTCCCACACTCCATCTTCACTCCCCAAACTGGCTGACAGACAAAGCAGTAGTGCATTTCTTAACTTCTTCTGCTCGCCTCTCACTGCACACATTCTATATTCTATACTCAAGACTGAAAATGTTGAAACAATCAAGAGGGCAGATGCTGCCTCGACCTCTCTCCCCATTGAGCTGAGCTCCTCTGTGCTTACCCATCCACTTTAGCCCAGAGAATAACCTGTCTGGAGAGCATTCTCCTGGAGCACACACAAGCATCACTGAATTTTCTTTTGCTTGATAAAGGATAAAGGAAGAAAAGCAGCAGCTGCTCTAGTAGCAGACAGCAAACAAGCTTCACTGTGGTGGTCCCACAGCCTTCACAAAGGGGATTCAAGAGAGCTAGGCAAACAAACTGTACAGCCCAAGACTTCCACACAGATTCACCTGCCAAAGTTATTAATTAAAAATCTAAAGAACTGTCCAGGTGAACTGAGAGTCTAACCAAAGCACATTTTCCAACTGGCTTTTTATTAAGTTGGAAGAGAATACAGTTAGTTGAAGGACTGGAAGGAGTTTCAAAGATCACCTAATCCAACTCTAACTCCACACCTTCCAATTTTAAGATACAGGTAACCCCAGAAAGATCGTAGAAAAGATTCATCCCTGTTCCAGTCTGTGTACAAAATAACACTGCAGATCTTAAAAAACATTTTTACAGGATATTTATAAGGCACTTCGTGTAGCATCTTATGCACAACAGCTCTTCAGATACTCATATGCCCCACATTAAATATATTTTGATTTTTTACAGACAGGAAGGGAGAGAGATAGAGAGCTAGAAACATCGATGAGAAACATCGACCAGCTGCTGGGGATGTGCCCGCAACCAATGCACATGCCCCTGACCGGAATCGAACCCGAGACCCCTCAGTCCGCAGACCTACGCTCCACCACTGGGCCAAACCGGTTTCGGCCAGTGATTCTTATTATTGACGTTTCTATCTCTCTCTCCCTCTCTGAAATCAATAAAAATATATATTTTTTAAAAGCATGCAAATGAATTATACTGTTTGGGGTAAAATCTTAGCTCTGCCACTTACTATGTAAACTTGAGAGAAATAACTTCACTTGATCATACCTTGCGCACCACAGGGTTATGAAAACTGAGATGACTGATGCAAGTGCTTAACAGATAGTAAGCACTCAGTGGATGTTAGTGACAATTTAATCTTGCTCAATCTTCAGTGAGCTCTTCTAGTTTGAAGATTCATTTCTGAATTTCTGAGGAATTATCCTCTCATTCTTTGAAAATATCCTGTTTGCCTTTCCACTCTAAAATGAAAATAAGCAGGTTACCAGACTTCCCACATTGATTTATCTCCTCTCTCATAATTTCTCTCTTTTTGATCTTCTGGGAAATTTCTTCAGCTTTATTACCCTACATTTCTGCTGCTTGAATTAGAAAAATAATTTTAAATTTCCAAGAACTCTTTCTTATTGATTGTTCCTTTTTCATAGTTTTTTTTTTATATATGCAATATCTTTTCTTTCTAATTTTTATTTTGAAAACTTAGAAAAGTTGAATCATACAGTGAACACTTCTATATATCTTCCACCTACATTCAGTAATTTAAAAAAGATTGTCACATTTACTTTTTTTCTGTAGATATGTTTGTGCATATATGTATGTACATATGTGTATATATATCCCTCCTACACAAATATTTTTTTTCTGGACCATTTGAATATACTTTGTAGAGGTCAGGACTCTGACCCTAAATACTTAAAACATGTGATGCAGAGGAATAAAGACATTTTTTAATCTACACAATCACAGTATCACAACTATGAAAATTAACAAAATTCCATGTCATCTAACATAAAGTCCATATTCAGATTTCTCTATTATCTCAAATGTGTGCAAAACCTACCAAAATGTGAAGTGCTATACATACCCTTCACTCAAGAGATTCCATCACTATTTTGCATATATACTTACACAAGAATGGGACCTAGACATGATGCTCGTACGAGAAGATAGAAAACCCAAATGTGCTTTAATATAGGCTTGGGTTAAACACAGGGAGCTCAAACTATGGAATATCAAACTACGAAATACTATTAGAACGAAGGTGTTTGGAATTGAAGTGTTCTAATATCCTATCTAATAAAGAGGGAATATGCTAATTGTCTGCCCTGCCCTCAAAGAGGCAATGCCCACAGCCAATGAGGGGATATGCTAATTGACTGTCACACCCCCAAAGATGGCAGTGCCCACACCCACAAGATGGTGGCGCCCAGTCCCCTCAGCCTTGCTTGGGCAGCAGGCGCCTGACTCTGGAGTCCCCCAGTCCCCTCAGCCTTGCTTGGGCAGCAGGCGCCTGACTCTGGAGTCCCCCAGTCCCCTCAGCCCCACAGCTGCCCAGGACCGGCCCGAGGTGCAGGCAAGCCTCGGATGGCAGCTGCCTAGCTGCTCAGGGCTGCCCTAGGCTCAAGTAACCAGAGCCAGCTGAGGCTTGCGCTGTCGGCAATGGCAACAGCAGAGGTGTGATGGGGCATTGCCTTCCCGATTGCTAGGTTGCCTCCTGCCCCTGAAGGCTCCTGGACTGTAAGAAGGGGCAGGCCGTGGTGAGGGACCTCCCTCCAGTGCATGATTTTCATGCACCAGGCCTCTAGTTACATAATAAATAGTGCTTACAGTGGAAGAATACTCAATCCCACCTAACAGTGGTTCTTAAGGGTGATTTTGCCTTTCAGAGGACGTATGGCAATGTCTGGAGACATGTTTGGTTATTACAACTGGAGGTAGCACTACTGGCATCAGTGAGTAGAGGTCAGGGATGCTGTTAACCAGGTCACAATACACAGGTCAGCCTGCTCAACTAAGAATGGCCTGCCCCAAGATGTCTATAGTGCCGAGACTGGGAAACCCTGCTATAGAGCACTGAATGGTAAAATTTGAGAAAAGTAAGACTAAAGGAATAAACCAAGTCATGTGCACAGGCCTAAGCATCAACTCATTGTGCTTTTAAGATAATTCACATTTCTAACTGTGGATGGTTAGAGAAGTCCATTATGCTCTTATTTGCATAGAGCTTATTCCAGACTGGTACAATATTAAGCTTCTGTAACCTTGGTTCATGTTAATAATTATAACTGTTGTAAATATATTATCACTGTAAGAATGAGGTCAGACTAAAGTCTCTGATTCTAGGGCTTTAAACTATAGGTAAATTTCTGGATAACATAGGAGTGAACTGTGTGGTCCTCTTATACATAGATTTAAAATTTCTGTGTTCAAGTGGACATGTACATTACGTCAATTGTATTTTTAATCCACAGTTGGGAATTTGCATACATGAAGGACTGACTTGGGTTATATATGAATTTTATTATGTGTGGGTGGTTGATGCCCCTGACCCCTGCTTTGTTCAAGGGCCTACTGTATTCCTACATCTAAGCATAGCACATGTATAAGAACATGCATTGTGTGTTGTTTGTAATGGAAAGTATTGGAACAACCTAAATAATAGTGGTCTGGTAGAGTAACTTATGGTATAACCATACAGTGGAATAACTGCACTAAACAAGACAGCTCCAATGATCTTCAGAAGTTTAAAGTTTAAACAGTAAGTAGGAGAACAATACATATGGGAGGTTACCATATGTTATGATATATAAAATGAATATACTGCCCAGCTAGTGTGGCTCAGTGGTAGAGTGCCAACCTATGAACCGGGAGGTCACAGTTTGATTCCCGGTCAGGGCACATGCCAGGGTTGCAGGCTGGATCCAGTGTGGGGTGTACAAGAGGCAGCCGATCAATGATTCTCTTTCATTACTGATGTTTCTAATTCTCTTTCCCTCTCCCTCCCTTTCTCTTAAAAAAAAATTAAAAATTAAAGTTCAAGTTATATACCATTTTGGAGGTTATATAACAACATTACTTTCTGATACGCATTATAAACACCAAGCTTTTACTTTTATGATTCTGCATCAAGCAATTTATACTCCAATAAAGATAAAGTAACAATATACTATTTACCATTATTTTTTTTTTTCTTGTTGGACTTCAAAATCTTGGAACCTTGTAACCAATCACAACAGATATCCACCTCATTATACACAAGATTTCAATTATGGTGTAAATTGGATTTTTATAAACTGATTTTCATCTTATTATCTTATTTTATTTTTAAAAAATATATTTTATTGATTTTTTTACAGAGAGGAAGAAAGAGGGATAGAGTTGGAAACATCGATGAGAGAGAATCATCGATCAGCTGCCTCTTGCACACTCCCCATCGGGAATGTGCCTGCAACCAAGGTACATGCCCTTGACAGGAATCGAACCCGGGACCTTTCAGTCCGCAGGCCAACGCTCTATCCACTGAGCCAAACCGGTTTCGGCAAATTATTATCTTATATTATTGTTATTTATAAAATAGTTACACTAAAACTAACTTCTAAATTATCTTCAATTAATATCTGATGCTGAACACTTAGGTTTTAGGCTGTATCTAGTTTCTCCCCTCTCTCTTATCCATGCTACCCCTAAACAAGTGGTTAACTGGAGTTTGCTTAAATTAAATCTATACTTGGAACATTTCTATTTAGAAAAATCATATAGGAAAAACAAATTAGGAAGACCTCAAAAAAAAGTGTTTTAAAGATGTCAGATGTAAAATCTTAGAAGCAAAGAGTGGGAAGAATAATAACAGCTTAAAACCTAACTGAAAAAGTATTTAAGAATCATATCATCACACATTAACGTAACACAACTAAGCATTTATTATACTGCTTAAGAAGGCAAGCAATTTTGCACTGACATTTCAGAAGTTGTATCTTTAAAATGTAATAAATGCTCATAGACTCTAAACAGTATTTTAAAATATACAATCTCTCCAAAAGAAAATATTCAACTAAAGATAGATAACTTTTAATGTAAGTAAAATGTTACAAGATTTTAAAATTAGTTATATTTTTCACTACACAATGTACAGAAATTTGCAAACTTCCTGTACAGAGCAGTATAATCTTTACTCTTGAGCAAGGCGTTCAATAACACGTCGATAATCGTCCACAAGATCCTGAAAGCTTTCTTCCAGTTGTTCGTGTTGCATGCTTATTTCTATTTGGTTCATCTGGTTTGTCAGTTCTTCTGGTCTAAGACATTTTCTCATTTTAGCAAGATCTCTCTGCTTTTTCTAAGCAACAAACACAATTATTGGTTAGACTAAGAATGCTGATATGTGTCTTTATATTCTTAGATTTTATTTTTTAATTTATTTTTATTTGTATTTAATAAATGTATTTAATAAAAATAGAGAGGGGGGGTCCTCTCTCCCATACATTCAGAGAGGAAGGAAGAGGGAGAGATAGAAATAGAAACATCAGCCGAAACCGGTTTGGCTCAGTGGATAGAGAGTCTTTGCAGACTGAAAGGTCTCAGGTTCGATTCCGGTCAAGGGCATGTACATTGGCTGCAGGCACATCCTCAGGAGGGGGTGTGCAAGAGGCAGCTCGTTGATGTTTCTCTCTCATCGACATTTCTAGCTCTCTATCTATCTCCCTTCCTCTCTGTGAAAAATCAATAAAATATTAAAAGAAAAAAAAAGAAATAGAAACATCAATAATGAGAGGATTGCTGATATCGGTTTGGCTCAGTGGATTGAGCATTGTTCTGTGGACTGAAGGGTCCCAGGTTCGATTCCGGTCAAGGGCATGTACCTTGGTTTGCGGGCACATCCCTGGTAGGGGGTGTGCAAGAGGCAGCTGGTCGATGTTTCTAGCTCTCTATCCCTCTCCCTTCCTCTCTATAAAAAAACAAATATATTAAAAAAAAAAAAAAGGAGGCAGTCGATCAATGATTCTCTATCATCATTATGTTTCTAGCCCTCCATTTCTCTCCCTTCCTCTCTGAAATCAATAAAAATATATTTTAAAATGTATTGTGTTATGTGATAGGAATATAAGCCCTTTATCTAAATTGCAAACCAGTTGTACCACTTATTTAGTAATCCATTGCTTGAAGCTGCTTCCAATCATATTAAATTCATAAATTCATATAAAACTATCATATTAAGTTTTTAAATATAGTCATCAGTTCTGTTCCAAATAATAGAATTAATCATATGCCTGTAACATAATGTTTTAAATTATTATGCTGTTTTTAACTTTCTAAGAAAGCATACTTCCCGAGGTTATCTCCCCCTCCCTTACTATCTTCATTTTCTTCGCTGCCAATTTTTTTTCAGATGGAAGTCAGAATTAAACTCTATTATACTTTTAACTGGTATGGCAAATCTATGAATTAAATTCAAGAGAGCTAAGTACCTAGGAATAAAAAAATAATAATAACTTCATGGGAAAAGTATAAAGCTATATATGTAAATTTATCACAAAGAAGCCCTGGCTGGTGTGACTCAGTTGGTTGAGTGTAATTCCATGCACCGAAAGGTTGTGGTTTGAATCTGATCAGGGCACATGCCCAGATTTCAGGTTTGATCCCCAGTCAGGGTAAATTCAGAAGGCAACCAATTGAAGTTTCTCTGTCACACTGATGTTTCTCTTTTCTCTCTCTCTCTCTCAAAATAAAAACATTTTTTAAAATCTGCTAAACCAAAGGGAAATATTTTTTTTAAATCTTTTAAAATATGCACAGTGTAATGTATTTCTAAACAGTTCCTCACTATGGAGCTCTGCATTTCCATGTTACAGAACAGAAGCCCAGTAAACAGTTGCTATTAGACAGTCACATAACCTGTAAAAGGTAGAACTAGACCTCATTCCTGGTTCCAAACCCAATGAGAAAACACCCATTCTAGATTTTATGTTTGTAAACCAATTAGGAGTTAAATATGCCTTTAAAACAATATAAAAGGTTTAATGCTAAGACCAAGCAGCTGCACCAATTTTATCTTTTTTGGGGGGGAAATTGTTCAAATTTATCTTGAACACCTGAAAATTACTTCTGTTCTAGAGATGCGTTGTTTTTTTGTGATTTAAAAAAATGATTCTAGTTAATACAGATTATTTTTACCTCTTCTTGGCATCAATACAAATAAAGTTATCAATGTTTAAAGAACTTTAAAAGTAAGGTATTAGTAATTCTAATATCTATCCAAATAATTTCTTAGTGGGACAGTGTGTTTAAGTTGTATGTAGACTTAATCCCTTAAATAAAGGCAGACAAAAATCAGTGGACTTTTCTATCAATAAATCAATCATAACTCAGTAATAAGTTAGCAACAATCAAAATTATAATTTCTTTTCATAAAATGTGTTAAAATAAAAATGTAAATTTTACATTCCAAACTTTCCCCATTAAAATGCAGGCATATATTTTACAAACCTAAAAAAAATTCTAAACTGCACTCACTATTTGGCAATTTTACTTTATTCTTAAATTTAATTCTGTATTTGAGAATGCTGTGGTAACAAAACAAAGTACACGAATATCAGCTTGGAATGACAATTGGAGAAAATCATCTGCATACATTCAACAAGGAAATCTTATCAACTACCGGAAAATAAGAGTGTCTTTTTTTTTTTTTTAAACATATTTTATTGATTTTGTACAGAGAGGAAGGAAGAGAGATAGAGAGCTAGAAACATCGATGAGAGAGAGTCGTCAATCAGCTGCCTCTTGCACAGCCCCCACTGGGTATATGCCAACAACCAAGGTACATGCCCTTGACCGGAATCGAACCCGGGTCCCTTCAGTCCCCAAGCCGACGCTCTATGCATTGAGCCAAACCGGTTTCGGCAAGACAGTGTCTTATATTAATTTTTTCTCCCAAAGTTGCGCTAGGTCTTATTTTCGGAGGATGTCTTATTTTCGGGGAAACACGGTATTCCCATGCCTATAGGACATTTAACTCATTTTTTCCCCTAAATATATTTTTATTGATTTTAGAGAGGAAGGGAAAGGGAGAGAGAATCATTAATGATGAAAATCACTGACCAGCTGTCTCCTGCACAACCCCACGGGGGATCAAGTCCCTAACACATCCTTGTACCCTGATGGGGAAACAAACCATGATCTCCTAGTTCAGTGGTTCAACCTTTCTAATGCCACAACCCTTTAATACAGTTCCTCATGTTGTGGTGACCCCCAACCATAAAATTATTTTCATTGCTATTTCATAACTGTAATTTTGCTACTGTTATGAATCGTAATGTAAATGTTCAACCACTGAGCCACACCAGCTGGGCATTTGAACTCATTTCTAGGCTTTTCCAATTTGTAGTAGGTTTCCTATCCTAATAAGCATTGTGACCTTCAAACCAAAGTGGGAGAGTGGGACCCTCAAGCTTTCTTGGTTTTTTCAATGGGATAGAACACTGGATAACTACATTTATTAAAAAGTACATTGTTAAAAAGGGTTTGAACAAGTATCTGAAGAATTTGTAATTTGCCTCTGAGCTTTATTTCAAGAATGATGATAACCATTTTGGCTGTTAAGAACCTGAAGAGTTTTATAACCAGTTTTTGGTTGTCTTTCAGGTAGGTGAAGATGTTAGATAGATGAAGATACTTAATATAAAAAAGTCACTATAATGCTTTAGAGTAGGAAATACTTGTTTTTGTGAACTATAGAAATTTCCATTATTTGGCCTAACTTTGTGAATACTATTCACACTCAAAATTCATCATCCCCCACTTGCTAGTCTGCCTATGTAAAATGTCACATAAATATTAAATGGGTATAAATAAATTATTTTATGATACTAAAAACAATTTTGCTCAGCTGGCGTGGCTTAAGTGGTAGGGCATCAACCTATGAACCAGGAGGGTCACGATTTGAATCCCAGTCAGGGCACATGCCCAGGTTGCAGGCTTGATCCCCAGTGAGTGGCATGCAGGAGGCAGCTGATCAATAATTCTCTCTCATCATTGATGTTTCTATCTTTCTCTCCCTCTCCCTTCTCTGAAATCAATAAATATATTTTAAAAAATAAAAAATATACTAAGTTCAATTATGGTAAAATATAAATGGCAACAAAGGCCATATTTAGGAAGGAGGGAGCAAAGACAAACAGAATGTATATAACAAATGGGGAGACAGACTCAGAAAAAAACTAAAGATAATTTGTTACGGAAGAATCTGGACATTCATATTTTTAAAAATTGTATACAAATAAAAGAAAACAACAAAAGCCATTGGTAAACTATTCTTAGGGTTAATTTTTAAGTGCATGAAAGATATTTATAGCTTACATTAGAAAATTATAACAGTGAGAATTCTTATAACTAACCAGAAGAACATTTTTACTTTTGTAAAAGTTAATTTAGCAAAATGATTTGGAATTGCCCATACATTGGCATTTGCTAAACTTTCTTCTCCATTTTATTTTTTATTTTTTAAATATATTTTTTATTGATTTTTTACAGAGAGGAAGGGAGAGAGATAGAGAGCTAGAAACGTCGATGAGAGAGAAACATCGACCAGCTGCCTCCTACACACCCCCTACCGGGGATGTGCCCGCAACCAAGGTACATGCCCTTGACCGGAATCGAACCTGGGACTTTTCAGTCTGCAGACCGACGCTCTACCACTGAGCCAAACCGGTTTCGGCTCTTCTCCATTTTAAATAGGGGCAAAAATATAATGTTTAAGACTCTTGAAAGTCCTACCTTATATGGGCTAATTAGTCTTCTTTTAATATCCAATCTGTAACTTCTGTATTGTTCAGCATCACTCATGTCAGTTACCAGTAGGCGAAGAATTTCATAAACCCGTCTAGCATGTTTCTAATAAATGAAACAAAAAAATTATATACATTTCTCAAAAGAACATAGGGTATATTGAATACATACCATAGTCCAGAAACTGTGCTAGGTACCAGATGAAAAGCAGTAAAAGATAGTCTCTGTCCTCAAGGAGCTACTTAGCAGTCTAGTGGGTAACACAAGTGATAGAAATACACAAAGTATTATGGGAGCATAACCTGGGAATGAGAGAAATGTTAGAAGGGGATTCCTGGGAGAATCCTGAGCTGAATCTCTCTCTCTCTTTTTTTTTTTTTTTTTAATATATTTTACTGATTTTTTTACAGAGAGGAAGGGAGAGAGAGCTAGAAACGTCAATGAGAAAGAATCATTGACCAGCTGCCTCTTGCACACCCCCCACTGGGGATATGCCCACAACCAATGTACATGCCCCTGACCGGAATTGAACCTGGGACCCCTCAGTCCGCAGACCGACGCTCTATTACTGAGCCAAACCAGTTTTAGCCTGAGCTGAATCTTAAAGGAAAGACAGCATACCATTCCAGAAAGGAAGGGCATCATATGAGTGTATGTGTATGCATGCAGAACAGAAGGAGCTTGATAATGCTGGAGCACAAAATGAAAAATAAGGTGCAAAAGTAGACTGACATTGGAGCAATAATACAGAGCCTCATATACTGCATTAAAAAGCTGGGCTTTTTATCTAGTAAGTGACCGAAATGGGGAAGTGAACAAAGTACGCAAATTTGCCAAGTAAAGCATTCTCTCAGCTACACAAAAAGAAAGGCAGGCAGACCAATTAGGAAGCTGAGTTTTAAATCAGGCAAAAGAAAAAAAAAAATAAGAGGGTATGAACTGAGAGAGCACAAGTAAGAATGCTAAGGGAACAAGGATTCTAGAAATAAAGAGGAGGAAAGATGGGATGTGGAGCAGGATGTGGAATGACAGTGAATTTTCAGTCTATAGAGAGTCAGGAGGCAGAACAACAAAAAATCTGAAGAAAATTCTAGTCTAAGGGTAAGGATTTAAGCGATATCGATATACAGGCAAGAGTTAAAACTGTTAAGCCTGGTTAAGATCTCCTAGGAAAAGCATCAACAACAAGAGTGGAGAGGTTGGAACCCTAGAGTACAGTGGCAGTTAAAGGGCAGGCAGAGGACAGAAAAAAACAGACAAAGAAATATTAGAATTATAAAAGATCTTTCATCATTGATATTTCTCTCTCCCCCTCTCTGAAATCAATAAAAATGTTTTTAAAAATAAGTAACTAGATCAACAAACTGATATTTCTCGCTTTCTCTAAAATCAATTTTTTTAAAAAGTAGGCGACAGCAACATCATGAATGAAACTGATCTGATAGGACCCATGGTTTTTGCCTTGCCTTTGGAGTCACACTGTTTCTGGCTGGCAAAATCCAGTTTGACTATGTATATGGAATCAATGTAATTGGATGTCTAGGAATGTTTTGTTTATTAAACTTAATGAGTATGATAGGTGTTTTATTTAGTTGTGTGGCAAGTGGCCTTGATATTGTCTTCTTTCCATGATCCCACTTTCCAACTTTGCAGTGATATTTTCTTTGCAAGAATGGTAGGAATCATTCTTGCTGCTGGAATTATTGGATGGTGTCATTTTTCTGCTTCCAAAATTTTAATTTCTGTATTAGCCAAGGAAGGTTAGCAACTTCTAGTAGCATATCCTTGTGCTTTGTTAAATGGAGTATGTCCTAATTTCCATTTCTGAACTGAATTTATTTGGGATGTGGACATCATTAGGCCAAACATACAAAAAGGACTTCGAACTCTTAAATTGAACTAGCAAACTCCTACAGTGCAACTATCATGGAGATCTAATGTTTGACTATTAGAGCAATAGAAGTGAACATGTATCTTTTGTTCATTTTTATAGAACTTTCTAATACTATATTAGGTCTACCTGCAGTATGATTAGCTTTAAGTGTTTGTGCTTATACAAATAAGAAGTGCTATTCTTTCCTGTTCCTGCAGCCTTTGAAAAACAATTTTTTTCCTTAAATTATATTATGTTTTTTATAGATTTTCATCAACTATGCAAAACTAACCACAAAGCTGATAAATCTTTCCTAAAAACAACCAGTCGTAGTAAAGAAGACACAGACTTATTGCAGAAATATCTTCCCAAGGAATTAGAAAAGAAAAAATCACCTGTTCTTGCAAGTCAGATGTACTTCAAGCAAAAAAATGATCCCAATGTAGTTTGAGTTTGCACTTCAAAAATCTGACATTCCTTAAAATTATCTCACAGAATTTCTGCTAAAATTCAATGATGCAGAAAGAAGTTCACAGCCTGCCCTACTGTAGATGTGAAATGGGAACACCTGTTTAGATATTAGCATTAACTAAAAAACAGTGACCTAGACTGGCCATATTAATGCTTATAGTTGGATCTCTGTATTTCTTGGAAAAAGAAAATCACTAACTTTTTTTGAAAAAATATTTAAAATGTCACAATTTCAATATTGCAGTTATGAATGTAAAGTGCATTTGATACTTGTTAATTAAAATTTCCCAATTTTAAAAAAAGATGATCACAATGTTAAGTGGAAAACCAGGAACTATAATGCCTTAGAAGCCAAATGAGGGTAGGTCATAGTATCAAATGTTAGTCCTTATTATTGGAATACTCTTCGTTCCACATACTTTCATAATCCAAATCCTACCCGTTATTTAAGGCTAGGATACCCAAAACACTGATTCCCTTGCTTACATAAATAATAAATTTCCTCCTCTCAACTCCCATGCTATTTTTTTCTGCACCTATCTTAAGTTACTTACTACTTTATTTTTAAAATATATTTTTATTGATTTCACAGAGGAAGGAAGATGGAGAAAGAAAAATCAGTGAAGAGAGAGAATAATTATTCAGCTGCCTCCTGCATTCCCCACACTGGGGATCGAGCCTGCAACCTAGGCCAACCCAGGCATATGTCCCGAACTGAACCATGAACTCAACCACTAAGCCATGCGGGCAGGGCTTTACTACTTTAAAACTCAAGTAAATATAAAGTGAAAGTTAAGTGTTTTATTTCAACCCCTTCTCCCTGCCAAAACTATCTCCAGGGGTATTAAGTACTTTACCAGTTTAGATAAACATTTTCTTAAAAAGCAAAAATAAGATCCCAATATTCGCCTTTTTCTGCTTGTTACACTTAACATAGCCATTAAATAAACTATCTTCCCACTCCATTAATGAGGAAATTGAGGCACAGGAGACAAACTAAATTGCCCTAAGATAATTTTTTCTTTTCTAATTCCTACAGACCAAGTGGTGGAGCCAGATTAGAAACCAAACAATCTGGCTTCAGAGCCTGTATAACAACTGTTACTTCCCACACATGTATTCTTAATGTATTTGCAATATTTAAGTTGTATACTTCAATACCTTATTTACTTTGAACTTTTGTTGTGCCTCTATTGCCATATCTTCATTGAATCCTTGCATTAACTTTTCCCGAGAAAAACAGGGCAAATCTTGACAAAGCTTCACAAGCACAAAGTCTCTTAAGTTCACATAGCTTTCAGATGGATCTTCCGCTAAAGAAATAAAGCAAAATAACATTTCCTTTATCCGACATAATGCCTTTATCATTTACAATCTCAAAATATATATATATGCTAGTCTAGAAAGACAGATTTTCTTAAAACTATTATACATACACAAAAGTTAGTGTCAAAGGATTATCCATTATAAATTAAATAATAATACTATTATTTTTGCCAAATAAAATTATAGGTGCAATCCTTTTGCAAAAACATTTGTGAAATTAAAGCTATCTTCAAATTTAAACTTAAAAAATATTTTAATTGACGGGGGCATCTTAGTTTTATTTTCATTTAAAGTAGCTGTACAAACAAGAGATTAAGGTTTGGATAATCAATTCCAAATGCAAATATTTTCTGATATCTAAGGGTTCCAAAGCTCAACTTATATAACTTCCTTACTTTAATCCAATAACCTTCATAGTTTGCAATAGTTCTTTCACTTCATTAAAAAAAACTCTTATAAAAGCAAATAGTGCTGAAACCGGTTTGGCTCAGTGGTAGAGCGATGGTCTGCGGACTGAAGGGTCCCAGGTTCGATTCCGGTCAGGGGCATGTACATTGGTTGTGGGCACATCCCCGGTGGGGGGTGTGCAGGAGGCAGCTGGTTGATGTTTCTCTCTCATCGATGTTTCTAGCTCTCTATCTCTCTCCCTTCCTCTCTGTAAAAAAATCAATAAAAATATATTTAAAAAAAAAAAAGCAAATAGTTTTTTAGAGAGTAAAATGAGACTATGATACCAATCCTTTCTTCACTGCATCTGAGTAGCATCAATCTTCCTTTATGTTTGTCTAAGTAGTAGACAAGGAAAACATCAAAATATGATGGATAAAAAGAATACTGCATAATCAGAGAACATGAGCTTGACTATTCTGTCATTCACAAATGTAAGGACAAGTCACCTTAGTTCTCTAAGTCTTCATTTTCTGATCAGTAGAGGCTTAGAAACAAAGAATGTTAAAATCTGAGCTAATTCATGGATCACAAGACTTAATATTGTTACAGTATCAATAATACTCTATAAATTATTCAATGCAGTCCCTATCAAAATCCCAGCTGGCCTTTTCGTTTAAGAAATTAATAAATTCATTCTAAAATTCATATGGATATGCAAAGAACCCAGAAGAGACAATACAAAATTGAAAAAGAACAAAAGTTAGAGGACTCACATTTCTTAATTTCACAACTTAATACAAAGCTACAGTAATCAAGCACAAGGATAAACAGATCAAGGAACTGAATTGAGAATTAAAAATAAACCCTTATATTTGTGGTCCATTTTTGAGAAGACAGACAATTCAATGAGGGAAAGAACAGTCTTTTAACAAATGACACTCAGACAAAGGGATCGCCAGAAACCAAAGAATGAAGTTGGACCCCTTTCCTCACACCACACAAAAATGAACTCAATATGGATTATAGACCTAAATGTAAGAGATAAAGCTATAAAACTCTTAGATGAAAAAAGGAGTAAATCTTCATGACTTTTGGTTAGGTAATGGTTTCTTAGATAACAGAACCAAAGCACAAGCAATGAAAGAATAGATAAACTGGGCTATATAAATATTTAAAACTCTTGTGCTTAAAATTATACTATTAAGAAACAACCCCAAAAGGGTAAAAAAATATTTCCAAATCCTATATATGAGACCTGTATTTAGACTTCTTAAAAAATGTTTATAATTCAATAAGAAAAAGACAACCCAATTTTAAAAATGGGCAAAGGAAGTATACACATTTTTCAAGAAGATATTCAAATGGACAATAAGCACATGAAAAGATGCTTAACATCACTAGCCACAAGGAAATCAAAATCAAAGGAAATACCATTTCATGTCCACTAGAATAAAAAAGTAACAAATACACAGGTCATCGATGGTAAGTTTTTAAAAAAATATATTTTATTGATTTTTTACAGAGAGGAAGGGAGAGAGATAGAGATCTAGAAATGTCGATGAGAGAGAAACATCGACCAGCTGCCTCTTGCACACCCCCTACCGGGGATGTGCCCGCAACCAACGTACATAACTCTGACCAGAATCGAACCTGGGACCTTTCAGTCCGCAGACCAAAGCTCTACCACTGAGCCAAACCGGTTCCGGCAGATGGTAAGTTTTAATTATCACTCTATCTGGCTCTAGGTCAAGTAAGCAAAGGCCATCTCAATATAAAGAATATCCTGAATTGCAAAAGGAGATCCAAAGCATGCAAAAAAGATCCACAAAGTTAAGAAAACACACACACAAAATAATGAAGAAACAGGCAATTAAAATGACGTAGAGGAGAAAACTTCACTTTTTAAAAGGAATCTAGAACTATCTTAATGAGAACAGCTGATAAGGCATTTTTAGTATTTTATAATGCCAAGAAATGGTAACGCTGAAAATAAAGGCTGATACCCCAGTTTTCAAATTCAGAAGTCCTTTAGCATGTTTAGCCTATTCTCTTAACAGACTTCAGTTTGCAATGAATAAAGGCTACCATTATTGATGACTCTTCACTGAAATTTAAGAAATAAAATTCTTTATCTGCTAATTGGTGCTAAGTATCAAGGACTTCATTGGTTGGAACAGACAGAAGAAAGTGGTTAAGAGGCTTCACAGAAACAACCCCTGCTGACACATTACCCACTAGAGAAGACAAAGACTACTTATGTGAACTACAGATTAAAATCACCACAAAAGAAGTCCCTTCATGTAGCACCAAGTCCAAGCTCCATAAGTAAACAGAAGCTAAACAATTTTCAGCTTAGCTAAAAAGAGGTGTTATCATTTGTATTATGTTTCTATATTTTACAAGTCACTAAGTTAGTGAAGGTGAAACAAAGCTTTTGATATTAACTTTAGTAATGACTGCTTAATCTCCCAAACTTCTAAACCATTTCACAGTAGGAAAGTCACGTGAAAACATAATTCAACTCTATAAACATGGAACTCCCTTTTAAAAACATGCTTTTCCTCCAATTTATTAATCTACAGGATCAATTCAAAATCTGTTTTGGGATAACTTTAATTTTATTTAGCCTGGCCAAACAAAACCACTATATTACATTAAAAAGGAAGACACTAATAATTTGCCTACTAGCCTATTTATATATTTTAGTCCCACATCCAGTGTATTTTTTTGTCATTAAACAAATTGACAAAATTCCAAAATAGCATTTTTAAAAGGTTTACATTTTTGTGCATGTTAAGTGTTATAGTTTTAAAAACAAAGATTAGCCGAAACCGGTTTGGCTCAATGGATAGAGTGTCGGCTTGGAGACTGAAGGGTCCCGGGTATGATTCCAGTTAAGGGCATGTACCTTGGTTGCAGGCATATCCCCTAGTAGGGGGTGTGTAAGAGGCAGCTGATCGATGACTCTCTCTCATCGATGTTTCTAACTCTCTATCTCTCTCCCTTCCTCTCTGTACAAAATCAATAAAATATATTTTTTAAACAAACAAACAAACAAAACCCAAAGATTAAAACTCTTACAGTAGGGGTGTCGAACTCAATCAGAGAAGGGGCCAAAATCTAAAATCCAGCCTAAATCTCGGGCTGAATGGTTTACTGAACAGTCATAAACTGTCATTGTGATGGAAACGCAGCGGAGTGCAGTGATGACAGCGCGGTGCGGGCCACATTGCAAGGCCTGGCGGGACGGATTTGGCCCGCAGGCCTTGTGTTTGACACATGTGCTCTTACAGAATTAATAACATTTAATACCTAATTTGGATGTGACTATCTGGTACAGTAATTTTCTTGGGGAGGGAGGTGACTTTCAGTTTAATCAGCAACTTTAAGAGTAACAAATTTGAAAGTGTTACTCAAGAATGAAATAACAATAATATAAATATTCCTTGGGCCACTTGGTTCTTTGGTAGTTCACATTTACATACTATCAATCATCTGTAACTCTAGCTAATGATGACTTTTCCATTCAAGAGTCTCTTTTCCTCTTTTCTATTCATAATATTTCAATGGCTAATTCATACTAAAAGATCTTTTCAAAACAAGTAGGCCACATTACACCTTATAAACTACTGTTGTGAAGACATGCATTTTAGGAATATAAAACACACTCTTTTTAAAAAATATATATATATTTTATTGATTTTTTACAGAGAGGAAGGGAGAGATAGAAAGCTAGAAACATCGATGAGAGAGAAACATCGTCCAGCTGCTCCTGCACACCCCTTACCGGGGATGTGCCTGTATCAAATGTACATGCCCTTGACCAGAATCGAACCTGGGACCTTTCAGTCCACAGGCTGACGCTCTATCCACTGAGCCAAACTGGTTTTGGCTAAAACACCCTCTTAAGAAATGTGTATTCTATTCAGGAACTATTTATTTGGTGTGGGTTTTTTGTTTTCTTCCCCTCAGTAAGTTTTAGAATATTCTGCTCCTACATGAAAATTTGAGCGTGGTTTCTGAGCAACGCAACTGTTGCTAAATAAAATGAACAAATAAGTCATACCATATTTACAACATGTTCATGCCTAACCAAGATTTCCCAATATATATTCAATTCAGTATCTTCAATTTGTTCAATTAGTAAGCACTTCATATTGTAGAGATGTAATCCAATACCACTAAAGCGTATGATGTAAGCCATCTTTAGTCAGTACCAAAAAGACCCAAGGACAATGCTGTTTAAAACAGAATACTTACCTTTGCCCCCCAAAATGATCAATCTGAAAATTTTTTTCTAGAAAGTATCTTTCAGTACAAATCAAAACTTACATACCTGTAATATCAAGAACAGAAGGAGATGCAATGTAATACCTATGAACTGTTTCAAGAAGTCGAGCACCATGGCCTTGACCTTGAAATGGAGTCAATATCAGCATCTGACTATAGTAAAGAAATTATTTTAAAGTTAAAATATCACATGACCAGTTTAAAAATTGCAAATAACTAGAGTACTATGAACATTTTAAAATCTGCATGATTTTTTTTTTCAATCAACTGTCAAAAAATCCAAAAATTATCAAGATATTCCAAATTGGCTTAATCTTCCTGTTTCCAAGGAAACAATGAAATAAATCAGTACATAACCAATGAATAATGGTGATTTTTAAAAAACAAATCAACACTATTATAACAAGTATTGGAAACTTCAGCAGTTCCTTCTTCTGAAATAAAAGGCAGGGCACGTGTTATACTGCCAATTACCTTACACGTGGCCGGGTTTTGTCTGGGTACACATAGTAATTATAGACTGTCATGTAGCCTACGGTCGCAAAGAGCGTAGCTCCATCCTTATTATACTTCTCAAATCTGCAGATAAAACAGAAAGCCAAGCAGGTCAATTACAGTCACGCTCCCATGCAGTGTCCATTTTCTTTTCCATTCTCTGACTGAATTTTCAGTGTCAGCAAGCTACTCTGTGAGGGCCCAATGGGTACACCTGCTATGTTCTGAATGTACAATTCACTTAATTGGTGTGCAGCAACTTGGATAAATCAGACCTCTTTACATCACTTCAGTGCACTTGCCTATTATAAAGATGAATAGGTGGCAAGTAAAAGAAAACATAGGCAAAGCTCATTTTACTGTTTAAGCCTACATTCAGGGCCCTAACGGACAACAGCATTTAATTCAGCTCTATTCTCAAAGTCTCCCAAAGCATAATGAAGGAAAACTCAAGCTTCATAAACAATAGTTTTTCTTTCCTGGGAAAAATATCATTATACTGTCCCAATAATTGGGTCGCCACAATTAAAATGCTAGCTTTGTGGAGGTAATAAGGTCTACTGTTGCTTTAGAACTGTACTTACACTAGAAAGTAGTGCCATCTTTCATCATCCACGTCAATAAAGCTAGCAGTCTCAATAAACCACATCAAAAAGGTCTGAAGCCTTTCATGATATTCTCGAAAGCCTCTACACGTCATGTCAGCCTAGGGAAAAAGCCAGAAAAGTCAGGTGAAGCTCATCACAGAGGTGCGTGAAAATGTGGAGGACACATAACAATCCTGTGGGAAAATGTTTTAGAAGTTTCAGATTAAGATGTGTACACAGACACACACAAAATATATTTGTTTTCAATGCTGACAAAACTTGGTTTCCTGAAGTTAGAATAAATCACTGAAAATAACAACAAAACAGTACATGGGTTCCTTTTATCCAAGAAATATTTAGACTTATTTTTACCTTGTATATCTGAAAGGTAAAGTTCTCCCTTGTTGGACTTAGAACAGAGTATGTATGGAGTAAGGTTCCAAATGGCTTGAAATCAACTTCTTTTTCCAGTAAAGAAAGAAAATCATTTGTGTTTGTGCAAAATCCAGGTGGAATGATTTGTCTAATTTTGCCCTCGACATCATCTGCCTAAGGAATGGAGGTGAAAGGACATAAGAATACATTAATAACAAACTTTACTTTTAGTTAAATATGCTTACTTTCTTTGAAATGGACAAAACCTACAAAAATAAAAAAAAACTTTAAGTTCATAAATAAACATGTAGTGAACTAGGAAAGGATGAGTTTCATGTACCTTAGATACTACCACACAAATCTGAGATTAAAACATAACATAGAAATAAAAAAGAGGAGGCAAGTAGCCTGAAATCAAGTGCAAGAATAAGAGCTACTGAAATTTCTAATACCGTGTAGAAAATACTATGTCTCTTCAGGACAGTTTGAACTGCCCAAAACAAAGGCTGCTTATTATTTAATGTGTGTGAAGGAGAACATATTATCCAAGACATGAAAAGATCACCAGCAGTAGTGAAGTGAGACTAGGGTATGACCAAAGTAACAACCTCACAATGAACAAATAGGTCATAACTCCCTCATAACCAAACTCAAAATTAAAATAATTTTTAAATTATACTCTCTTAGGGAATACATAAATTGTATGAACAGATATATTATCCACTTATCCCTATAATGTGACATAATTCTTATGGACTTAGATTTGTGACAGTAAAAAAGAGACAAGTCTGGACAACAAAATTAAATTCAGAGATTAAAATTACCCTTGTTAAACAACCTCAATGAATGTTAAAACTATCAGCTGAGCAGACTTCATAATCCTTTTCAAACCCCCAAAAGACCACTTGATTGAATACATTTACTACTTCTCTTTAACCATGAATATTTGATGAAGTCTTACAATAAAGTATTACTGCTTCTCACCAGGCAATAAAACTTAATGAATTGGTCTCAACTTAACAAAACCTTACCCTTCAATACAGTCCCTAAAAGCCTGACATTACATTCAACAAAATGAGCTTGCATACTATTCAAACTTTTTTTTTGAACAATGAGGCCAGGTTTTTACTTAATGGAGTTTGCCGTGAGTTCAGCTGTAATGTTTGTATTGTATCTATTTCCACAAGGACTGACACAAGAACACTTTGTGTTAACTTACTAAGCAGCTCTTTCATACCGTTTACATGCATGATGGGTATTAGTTCTAAACCAAGACCCTTGCTACTTAGCATTCAAAACAGGGAAATTAAGATGCTTAGGACAAAATACACTACAAAAGGCTAATACAACATGCTACTAATTCCTGTCCTTTCAACCATCTTTTAACTAAGTAGAAGCAATGCACCTGCAGATGAATAGCACTTTATTATCATTCAGTTACATTTTAGGATACAGAACCAAGGATGGAGTTTATCATAAACAAGTTCTATTTTCAGTACTTTGGTACCACCACCATTTATATATATCTTATTTATAGCTATAAAAAAGAGAGCTTTTATTTAAAATATAGCTGTTCAACATTGTGCCCAACAGCTTTTTTCTAATATGTACACTAGTCCTTGCAATCCATTTACATTCAAGATCAAATAAACTGCATTTGGTAGGATTATTTTTATTTAAAAAGTACTGTTTGATAAATATTTCTCCTTGAAACTGCTATCTAATGTGAAGAAACAATCTTAAGCATATTTTATATAATCTGTACAGTTTCAATAATTACAAGAGGAAGTTGTAATAAAAAGGGATAGTTTTAATAGGTCTGTTGTGTGGCAATCAAAATCCAGAGTACTGATGGGTAAAGTAGTGTAATTTTAGTTCAAGTTTAAAAAAAGAAACACTACTTAAATAAAGAGGTTTATAATCTACCAGCTTAAAAGAAAACACTTCAAGGCATTTATAATGTATATAATTTTAACTTTTTAAAAGCATTCCCTATGTTCCGTCTTCTCAACAAGGCATTGCAAAAGCATAATCAAATGAGTTCAAATATCTTGCATCAAGTAGCAGTTCTGGTAGAAGACAGAACAACACAAAAGTCTGAACACAACAAAGTTGAAAGAGAGTTAATGTTTAACTTTCAAAAGATAGCTATTTATTGTACCAAATATTTTCAAATAATTATTTTGCTCTGGGCAAGTTTACACATTACTTTAAGAACTTTCACAGGGGAGTAAAAGGCTAAGTTTAAAAACAAGAAATTTATTACTATTTATAACAAGGTAGAGAAAATGTATAGTGTACAACAAAAGTAGGTTTACAGTTGTATGAAAAATAATTCAAGAATTAATAAATAACAACACAAGAACAAACTCTATTTCTGGTACTCACAACTATAAATCTACTTTGGGTATCTTATATGTTACATTAAATATATAATATAAAACCAAATAGCTTTTCAAATCTAGAATTCAGAACTTTGCATCACTAAAAGAAAACTTTATATTTCTCTATTAAATGGATTGTGCCTTAGGAAAAAAAAGTTTCATAAACATCATGTTTTTGAGATCTGTATTCCTCTTTTTCCAAAGGAATAAATATATTTTAGACCAGTTAAATATTCATTTCTCATAATGGGTTACTGACCAGATAATAAAATCATTCAAGATCAAATAAACTAGAGAAAAACTCTAACCATTGTTAACTGAATGTCGAATTAAAGATTAACTGAAACCTTTAGTCCCAAGGATTGTGGCTAAAGGTTTAGATTCCATTTCTGAAGATCACTGAAAATTTCCCTATCTTAAAGAACATTATTCTAAACTTCAATTAAAATTATACAAAAACCTAGTTAATGAAAGGATAACAAATTAAGCTGAAAAGATCAAGAATTCAAACTAAAACCTAGTACATTTAATTAATAAAATCATACCTTACAAATGTTTTCCTAACATTTGGCAGCATTTTTTAAAAGGAAAAGTATAAAAGTAACTATTCTATTTAGGTCTTATATTATGTGAATCATGATAAAATGTTTTAGATTGTATACTCTCTTATTATGGTCATTTCAACTTCTGACTTCTATACTTTGTTACTTATGTTCCTATGAAGCAATTTTTGCTTTTCCTCATCACTGCTTAAAGCATGTGCCTGAGAATAACTGGTAGTCTGCTATAATAGAAATATGTTTATACTTACATTTGTTTTTATACACATTTGAAAACCAAATTACATTAAATCCTCACTCAATGTAATTGATTAAGTTCCATGATTTTAAGAGAAACGATGTATAATGAAACTAATTTTACCATAGGATAATTGATGAGTTTATACATGAGTTAAGTTCCTACAGCATATCATCAATGTTATACTAGTAATGACTCTGAATGAAACAAAATTATTCAAGGACCTGCTATACCTCATCAGTGTATTAACCTAACAGTACCATTTGTCTAAATTTGTCTATGGAGAGTTATTTTTGAAACTGCAATTTTAAAGGCATGTTAAGTAGATGGTACCTGCTATCCTTTATTTGGCTAAGGTGGCAGAGTTAATATCTACACTAATAAAAGAGAAATATGCAAATTGCCCATACCTCTGCAACGATCACCCACCAATCAGAAGTATGCAAATTAACCCAACAAAGATGGAGGGTTAATTTGCATACACAGGCACAGAGTGAAGACTGAAGGTTCCGGCCCAAGCCAAGACTAAAGACTGAAGACAACTAAAGACTGAAGAGGCCTGGCTTCTCCTCTATGGCTGGAGCGGAGAAGCCAAGCCTCACTGCGGCCAGAGTGAAGGCCTGGGTCCCAGGTGCTGGAGGAAAACTGGTGCCAGCAGCCAGGGGAAAAATGGCCTATTTCACGAATCTTCTTGCAATGGGCCTCTAGTTAATTATAATTCTAAAAATACCTAAGATATGCTATAAAAGCAAGAGAAGAAAATTCCATATCTACTTAATTTGCTCAAATTGAAATTCTCGGGGAGGGTGAGAGGGGGAATGAGAAAAAATAAACCAAAGAACTGTATACTTACTAGAGACCCAGTGCACAAAATTGGTGTACAGATAGGGTCCCTAAGCCTGGCTGGTGATCACGGATGATCAGGGCCTTCCAGCTGCCTGCTGGGCCTTCCTTCGTTCCATGCCGTGCCCTGATTGTCAACGCACATCATAGCAAATCGAACTCCCAGTCGAATTCTCAAGGGGATACTTTGCATATTAGCCTTTTATATATATATACTAGAAGCCCGATGCAGAAAGATTCATGCTATAATGGGCTTTCCCTGGCTGCCGGCACCGCCTCTCCACTCCAGCCCAGCCTCTTTCCACTCCAGCCCCGCTTTCCCACACTGCCTAGAGGCCCTGAGAGACCAGGGATGGGGCAGAATGCCTGTGTCGTAGCCATGGCAATGATGCAAGCATCCCACCTCCATCACTCAGAGCCTGTGTATGCAAATTAACCATCATATTTGTTGGGTTAATTTGCATATTGTTGCTGATTGGCTGGTGGCATAGCAGAGGTACAATCAATTTACATGTTTATCTATTATTAGGTAAGATAGATAGAAGATATGTACAGCCCATGGATAAAGACAATAGTGTGGTAAAGGCCAGGGCGGGGAGGGGGGGGAGAAGGCTGGACAGAGGGAGATATATGGGGGTGGGAGGAGATGGGCCATCTGTAATACTGTCAATAATTTTAAAAATGTTTTAAAAAAACCCAAAACTTGGAATCTAAACATTTTTTAAAATTCTCTGACAATATTTAAGTTGTAAAATCTTGATTATTGTAATTAACTGTAAACTTTTCCACCACTGGAAAAACAATGGTTATATTGTTCGTTTATATTACATTAGTGTTTTGCCACATGAATTCACAAACAAAATTCCAAAATAAAAAGCTCAATATATGATTTTAAATCTAAACATATAATTTTTAAAATGTTTTATAATCAATAAAAATAAAAAACATTAAAATATTATTGATATTTTATACTCCATAAAAAGCATTACTTATAAGGAGCATTTAAAATTATTTTTAAAAAGAGTATAGTGAAATATTATTAGTCTAATAAAGATTATTTTTTCATTTCCTCAAGATTAGGTTTTTGTAAATGTGCATGATTTTTCTGTAAGAGGCTAAAGAATCCAGAAAAAAAATCTCGAAATCTGC